ACGCGTATTGTTACCTTACTCCTACCTACCAACCAGCAATTTACTTATATTTTCCTAAACTTTAAATGATAATCCTCTTGGAACACTGGTAGCCCGGCTTGAAGTATCTCTGATTTTGTAGTTGTATTCGATCGGAAGCGAGGTTCACACATTGTCTTGAGGATAAATTAGAATATTAACAGTGTATGACAACAGTGGTGAGTGCGGAATTGGTACACTTAAACAAAGGGTAAAATTAACTCTGAAAACACGAACAATCTGTAGTGAACAGTGTAAAATAATATTCCGATGGCAACAGTCACGGCCGAGTTTGAAGTCCCAATCTGGAAACTCGCAGTAAGCTTACACAAAAGTAGTAATTGAAAAGCATTAATAGTTGTAGCTCGGGATGTGGATGAGAGGATTATCGTGTTATCTGAACTAGGCAATTTTGTTGCAGACGTGTCGTTGCCAAACTAGGCAACATCCTCAGTGCGGTTAAAGGGTCTGATTTGCAGTCTCGCAAGCCACTGCCAGATCCAAGTGACTAGTGATCGTTTCCTACTTTGAATGTGTCTCCGATTGGCTCACGTGGGTCGGCCAAGCGGTCATATCTACGCCCTGTTGATCTGGTACTTATTGTTGACCGCTCCCGCAAACCTAGCCCCCGGCTGCCTGTTGGAGATGTGGTGAGTGGCATTTTGTTCGAGTGTGTCCATTGCTGAAACATATTTGCTACAAATGTCATAAACGGGGCCATAAAGAAACGCACTGCCGATCCAGACTGCAGTACAAGCGTGCTAGACATAGGCGAGCGAATTCAAATGTTCCCAAAAGATTCAGCAGCTATAGTACGGTTCAAGCGGCTTATTCTGATGAACATGTGGCTCGCAGAAAGTACATCAGAGTTCACCTGAACGGACAACAAGTGCGTCTTCAGCTAGATACAGCATCGGACATCACAATTATCTCCAGCAAAACTTGACAGTATATTGGTGCTCCGTCAATCAGCCGAACGACACATGTTGCACTTAACGCTTCAGGAGGTCAACTTAATCTCACTGGTGAGCTGCAGTGTGAAATGGCTTTTGGCCCTGCTAGGGCAAACGGTGTCGTGTACATCACGGGGCTGTCCCATTTGAATCTGCTTGGACTCGACTGGGTCCAGAAGCTCCATCTGTTCGACATTCCCTTGAGTCAAGTCTGCAAAACACCCTCCAGATCGGATATACGAGGCCCTCTTCCAAAGGTGATGAACCAAACAACAACAACCTGATTGAGCAGCTACGAAGGAAATTCCCGCCTGTGTTTCGCAACGACTTGGGAAGATGCACAAAGACCAAAGCAAGCCTTACTTTCAAAGACGATGCCAAACCCGTATTCCGACCCAAAAACCGGTACCCTACGCTGCGTTCCGATTGTTGATGCGGAACTTGATCATTTGGAGTGGGCCGGCGTCATCCAACCTGTGAACTATTCAGCGTGCGCAGCATCTAGTGTTGTCGTCAAGAAGACCAATGGAACCGTTCGTATCTGTGTTGACTACTCTACGGGATTGAATGCTGCTTTGAAAATGCACCAGTATCCTTTGCCAGTCCAGAAGATTTATTTGCTAAGCTCAGTGGTGGCGCTTACTTTGCAAAGCTAGATTTATTAGATGCATATATTCAAATTGAAGTCAACGATGTTTCAAAGGAGTTGCTGGCAAACAATACGCACCGAGGTCTTTACCAGTTCAGCCGTTTGCCATTTGGAGTAAAATCAGTTCCCGCGATTTTGCAACAAATTATTGATATCATGTTAGCTGGGTTATCAGGAGTCGCAGCTTACTAGGACATCATAATCATAGGGTCTACCTTTCGAGAGCTGATAGAAAGACTGGAAGCAGTTTTCCACCGCGTTAATGATTACGGTTTCCACTTGAAAGCAGAAAAGTGCAGTACCGGCATGAAGTGTGTAAAGTATCTTGGCTTCATCATCGACAAGGATGACCGTCGTCCGGATCTTTCCAACATAAGTGCCATAAAGCAGAGGCCTCCTCCTGACAATGTCGCGAAGCTCAGATCATTATTGGGATTGATCAGTCATTACAGCTCTTTTGTGCCCGAAATGCATCGGCTACGAGGACCGCTCAATTAACTTCTGGTAAAAGATCGCAAATGTGTGTGGTCTCCTGAATGTCAAGCCACATTTGATAATGTCAAGTCTATCTTGTGTTCCGACCTATTGCTAACGCATTTCAATCCGAAGCTGGAGATCATAGTTGCTGCTGACGCGCCAGACTACGGAATTGGAGCAGTCATATCCCACATTTTCCCCAATGGTTCGGAGAAAACGGTGGTATATGTGGCCAGACCACTCATCCCAGCGGAACGCAACTATGGGCAGATCGAGAAAGAAGCTTTGGCTATAGTGTTTGCAGTCAAGCGATTTCACAAAATGCTCTATGGACGAAAATTCACGCTGTTCACTGACCACAAACCCTTGGTCGCAATCTTTGGATCAAAGAAAGGCATTCCAGTCTGCACGGCCAGCGATCTCCAACGCTGGACAACGATCCTACTTGGATACGATTTCGTCATCAAATATCAATCTACACACAACATTGGTCAAGCGGATGCGTTATCTCGTTTAATTGGTACACAGCATCAAGAACCAGAGGATTTGGTAGTTGCTCAAATCTCCGTAGAACCCCAAGTACATCAAGTTGTGTCTGACATTTTCAGGGCTTTGCCAGTAACCTTCGAAATGGTGCAAGAAGTGACCTATCATGATTCTACCATACAACAAGTGATCGATTTCCACCTCAATGGCTGGCCTAAGAGAGTTACAACGCCGGAGCTTCAACAATTCCACTAACGGAAGGAAGCCCTATCAGTCGTCAGCAATTGTCAGCTGTTCTCAGATCGAGTCGCCATTCCTCTCATCCTTCAAGAGGGAGTCCTCCGAGAATTTCATACTGGCCATCGAGGAATGAATGGCATGAAATCGCTGGCAGGAAGCTACGCGTATTGGCCGTATATGGATTCCCAGATCGAGAATTTAATGAAGAATTGTCCCCAATTTGCCAGTGTATCTAAACAGCCAAGGAAGACGGAACTGCAATCCTGGCCAATACCAACGGGATCATGGTCAAGGGTTCACGTCGACTTTGCAGGTCCAATTGACGGTCATCATTTTCTCATCGTTGTCGATGCCCAAAGTAAATAGCCAGAGGTGATTGCAATGGTGAGAACCACCGCAGCAGTCACTGTCTCCGCTCTCCGACTGGTATTTTCTCGTTTCGGTGTTCCCCACATGTTGGTTTCGGACAATGGTACACAATTCACCTCCTCCGAATTTGTTGTTTTCTGTCGCAGAAACGCGACAGTCCATGTAAGGTCTCCACCTTTCCACCAACAATCGAATGGTCAAGCGGAACGCTTTGTGGATACACTCAAAAGAGCCTTGCTAAAAATGAAAGGGGAAGGTACCTTGAAGATTCTTTACAAATTTCTTCTGACGTATCGCATAACTCCGAATCCGCAGACACCGAACACACTATCTCCGGCTGAAACTTTGTTTCAAAGGAAAATCCGTGTGCAGCATGATGTCCTCAGACCCAGGAAGGATCAGTTACTGTCCCGCAACTATCAGATGGAGAATCAATTCAACATCCTACACGGTACTTGAAAGCGAGCCTTTAATGTTGGCCAGCAAGTTCTGGCGAGAGATTATCGCATCCACTATCCTAAATAGGCTATGGGCCGTGTACTAAACCAACGTGGTAACGTGATCTACGGTATCCAGGTTGGGACGGCAATTTGGGTAAGACATGCCAATCAGCTACTAGAGGCAGGGACTGGCGAACAATTGCAACAACAAGTACCAGCAGCGCAGTTACCACTGGAGATACTGGCCAACGTGGGTGAAGCGAAGACTCCCCAGCATGCCCCAAGACAGCAAGTACAACATTCGTCCCAAAACCCATGAGCACAGAGGCCGAAGCGGCGCCGCAAATTCGTGTCACCCATGCAAGTCAACCCCAAACTGAAATCGTACAACACAACTCAAAGGAGGGAAGTGTTAGGAAAGAATACTCGATACAAACAAGCCAGGACGCCATCGCCGCGGCAGGCGATCCAAACTCACCCGCCCTGATAGGGGAGAACAGAGGGTCAACCGGGAGAAGCGGCCAATTAACGAGAGGGCGGCGTTCCTTGATTTGCTGTTAGTTGACCTTTCCAGAGCTTTCCACGTGCGCTTTAAATACCATTCACGAACTTTCCATTTCACCTTTATAATGAACGGTGTGATTCGCTAATACATCCTTATTGCTCTGCTCGTCCGATCCGGTCTTCTCTCTGTCCTGTTGGAGGCCCGCGACTTCGGGTTTTGATTGGGAATCAAGCGTCCATTCAGGCGAGGGACGAACATTTCAACCATCAAGTACCGTTCTGTTGTCCTTACTTTGAATCGCGAATCCTTAGCTCGTAATCGTGTGAGCCCAGTTTTTGTAACTCCTTGAAACCAGCATTCATAGCTCTTCCCGTATAGATGAGACCACGAAAACCGATCAAGAAGTATGGCAACGAACTCCAGCGTATCAAGAATCGAATCATTTTAGTATATCGCTCCGGCTCGCAGTAGCAAAACCGAATCAGGGAAGTTGTGACAGTCACTCCAACACGCCAACATCGTACCCAGTGCTAACAGTTATGATCCCAGTGTACATATCAACAGGCTTATCATACGAAGTAGGTAATAGGGAGTGCGAAAAATAAGGCGCATTTACCGAGCCTATTCCGATCTGAATAAGTGTTTCACAACGACACGTGATCCGTATCCGCGTTTACATATACCCACGAGCAACAGTTATTCCAAGGTGACACATCCAACTCAGGATTTTAGTGATCAACATAAATATCTGTATTCATTGAAACGTCGTGAATTGTCTTCAATTCAGACCAATCGGTTGATGGATGACCGGCAGTAAAAACTGTCGAAGTTCTTTGCAGCACAATGCGAATGTAACACAAAACGCTAATAGTGCGATCACCCATGCCGCCGAAGCAAGGAAGTGGAAGTGTCCGTTCGAAATCCCAGCGGGAATTAATGAGGGAGAATGAGTGAGAAGAGTCCATACAAACTGGAATCACTGTGTATGAACGGTGAGACACACGTACAGAATCACAACCAGGGATAAAGTAACAATACGAAAGAAGTACAAAACAAAAACAGCAAAACTCGGGTTCGAAAGTGACCAGATCAGGAGTTTCACTGGCAAGGCGATTGCATATTGGGACAGGGCCATCTACCGCAAATGGAGAATCATGTAACTAGGATCCTCTAGGTACTGTTGCCACAGCTTACAGAATCGGGCCACGGTAGCACCGTCAATAACCCGATGATCTGCTGCCCAGCTCACATTCAGAACGTGACTGACGCAGACTGAGTCGTTGTCTGCAAATCGTGGAAGACGCTATGCGAAAAAAGGAATGTGTATGAGATAGGAAATGAAAGAGTTCGTGACACAAAATATAAGGTGTAAAAAGTACGCATGCTCTTAATAAGGTGACAGCCGCATTGCCACAAATGGCCGAAATGATCATTCAGATGCTCAGCCATTCAACTTTCATCCGAATAATCACGCCATCATCACAATCAAAGCAGACGATGAAACAAGATCATAGGAAACAAAGGTAACGCAATGAAAAGGGTCACAAAGCAAGCTGGAAAAGTGAGATGAAAGGCTAATGGCTAAAAGAAGCCAGATACAGAGTGTAAACAACCTATTGACTGAACCAAGTTGGATAAATATGTGTAATCACTACGCAGCAGGTGCGATAAATTTTTCTACAAGAATCTTCATAAATTTTCATAGGTGGTCATTCGTTGGCTTCGCGGTCTCACCGAGTCAACCTCAGTACTCGTGAATGCACACTGTCACAAGCAGAGGATAGACATGTTAAAAACGGGACTTAGAAGAGGTAGGAGGCACATGTGTTATAGATGATGGGGTAAACTAGTTAGTACGAGAGATATTGATGGTGAGCTAACCGACTATAAGCACCGGAGGTCTAAGACGTTCGCCACGCAATGTTCCCAAAGTGCAGTGACCATGTGGTTGCTAAATGCACTAAATGGGTTTGGTAAATACAGGCATTGAACGAGATGATGAATCGTCATCCCGGTCTAAACAATTGCTAGTGTCCCTGATCGAGAAAAACAAGGAATACCTGAGGCAAATTCAGCGACTGCCCAACCGTCAACACGACGGTAGCGAGCAATCATTGTCCAAAGGTATAAGAAATCCACAATTTGTGGAGCAAAAATGGACGAAATCAACAACAGTGGACAGCATCGCGATAAAACAACCAAATAAACTTCGGTGGAGCCCAGGAACCCTCGTTAGTCGCTAAAACAAAAATATCAGAATCAGTGCTGTCAAAGCGCCATTAAAATGTGGCATACTGCGGCTGTGATGAAATATCAAGTGCATAAACTCATGTGAGGAAAACGTAAATTGTAGATTTCCGCGGGATTAGAATCGGCCAAAATATTGATCGAGTTTCTGGAAATGACGGGTCGATGGCTCGTACACAGTATCGGCACTACCTTCAGCCTAAGTGTTGATATTCTATTCGAATATGCGACAGGTGATAGACGCAAGTGGACGGCTTAATTGCGAATGCGCATTTAAGTTAACCGGCATCAGATGAAAAACAAGGCAACATTTGATTGTATCAGTGTAGTCAACAGCCGGTCGTAGCTCGAAGCTGAGTAAAGACGAATGTCATCGACAACTCACTTCCGTAATCCATATGCCCAAAGATGCGGGAACAGTGATCGATGTCGGTGGTGATCGGCATTTGAAAATATGCACGGACTACAAGGCCCAGACCGGAAGCACCGATTTCCAACATAAACTATCACGTCGCCTAACCTGACGTAACAAGGACCTGAGCGCACATTGATCTCAACAACAAGAGGCGCAGGTTGATCCCAAATGATCATGCTTTCGTTTAAGTGAAGGAAAATGGTTTCGTTTGGCACTCAGCTTCAGTGCATCGGGAACAGTTCGATACGGTATGTGATCAAAAGTCTTACAAATCGTAAGTACCCGCGGTACGAACGGAGTCATTTGTTGTGGCAAATATCGACACGCATACGCGCCAGTGCTGCCTAACAAAATATCGACCAATATGCACACATTATGTTGGAAGATGTGTGACGCGCGCTGCTTCTGTACGAAATTTTCGTGCACATAGATTTGCTCTTCCCACGTGTTCTTCTTCTGCTGGGAAGTTGGTGTGTTTTGCTGATGGTCCGCTATTGTCCAGTTTTTTCGGTATATATATACTGCTGATTGTTGGTAAAGTAATGTCTCCCTTTGGCTCAACACAAACTGAGAGAGAGAGAATGATTAGAGCCGTGAGCTGGAGAAACCCAGTGCGATACTAAAAGCGGTAGAGCACTATACCTAGTCATCCGAAGTCAGATCAAAAAAGACGCAACCAATAAGACAAATGTAGAAAGAGGCGGGCAATCGATACAGATAAGTCTATCAGATGGTTGGGGGTGGGAACTTGAAATGCAGTTCGGCAGGCGCACTATGGCATCTTGATTTATGGAGTACCGTATAATCTCGTGGGGTGATGAGGTTACACTATATGTCTTTAAAAAGGGTTAAAACTGAACTCGCTGTTGAAACGAAGTAAAGCAGGACTAGATAACTGTCCGTCATCGTGTTGGAAGATGGAGGAGACCCAGTCCTGGATAAGGTAGTCGATTTAGTTAGTAGTTCAAGTGAGACTGAAGATGCACATTTAGACTGAGGACAATCGAGTGGTAGACCACAGGCATGAGCAATGTGGATACTGCTTTGACAGTGATGCAACTCGTTTATCCTCATTACAGTCGAAGCAATGTAGACTATAGCGGATCATATTAAGACAAAGTATACACTATACTTTTGTCAAATGGAGGAAGAATGGTCCGCTCACAGTTGACTTATGACAGAAGATTCCATCTTCAATTCGGCTGATTGTACCGGCTTGTGATACTGCCTATCTCTGAAGGATGCACCAAGCAAACACTAACAAAAATCCCTCCATCATGAATCTAGAGATGAAGCGTCAGTGAGGATAGTATCTTCAGTTCCCTGCGACAGATGGCATGACCCAGAGTTACACTATGTTCCCGTTTCACCATAACTCTGATCTAAGTCGCTGAGCTCTTAGTCTCTCCGGCAGCAAACGTTCTGCAGAGGGCGAGAGATGAATCTAGGATATGCGAATGGCAGCTATACTTGTGTATAACTAGGCACTTGGTGGGCAGTGCGGTGGGTTGATAGTTGGTGTTTGAAAGCCAACCTTACGGTGCCGCACCAGAGTGAATACTGAAATCGGACCGCTTACGACGGGATAGTTAGGACGTTCGTATACTAATTGCTAACCCATCTCGGCGAGTACCATGTACCATGGCAACACTTAGTACGGAGAAATCGCGGGACAGCCAGCATATAGCGCTGTAAAAAGCACGAAAAAATAGACTGTGGAATGATCAGGACAGTACATGTTGTCCTGTTGGATGGTGCCTAAAGTATTGGCCACATTAGTGGTTAAGAATTCGATATAACGAGGTCGCGGAGTCGACAGTGATCATGTACTGAATATGTCACAGTCAGCTGGCAACTCTCTGACCGAATCACTTTCAACTGGCTTCTTAGCTACCTTCCGTGGAACTCTATTCTGCATTTGACGACTGGTGATTGGTATCACCTTGGAGACGTGAGTAATAGCAGCTAGATTTAACGCACTTTAGTATTCGGATGATACCGCGCAATCGAATTGAACATAAAATGTGCCTGAGGTCATTAGGTTGATGCGGTCCAGGTTAAATGACCAGGAGCGCACCGACTTTCATAATGGTCCAACATCCGAAAATATACGGAGCCAAAGGAGATCCGGTTGCTGTGGGAAAAATGCCACAAATCAGTAAGAGTAGTTCCAGATTTTTAACACAAGTTAATCTCAATGATTACACCATACAGTCGCTACTTACATGGCTACCAAGAACGCTGTGCAGAGGATGGCGAATGTTAGAAACCCAAACAAACAACAACACTGCGACTAAAGTGTCGCATCCGATCCATCGATTTACGCTGGACGCAAGGAGCATAAATAGGAACGCGAGCATAGAAGTGGAAACCGTGTTCGCAGGCATCATATGGCTGTTGCTAGTCTCAGTGATAGGCAATCCGAAGAAGAATGTGTTGAACCATCAATGCCCCTGTATGGATTATGAATGTAGAGCGTCGAGCCAACTTCATATGCGGTTAGCTCACATGACTTGCCTATCACAGGATAAATTTCTCCGTTCTTCTGAAAGTCATGACACAGTGCATTACTGCAAAGCAAGTGCGGAGCCAACGAACAAGCGGGAGAACGGAAAGCTAACGGTGTGCTTGCCGAATAAACCGTAAAAGATAAAAATGAAGATATAGATCAGGATTGAGGAGCACACGATGTACCGTGAAAGCAAAGTACGCGAGATCAATGTTTAGCAGAAAATAAAATCTAGAGGGCGGGTTGTAACGCGCAAGTGAGGGGGTGAAACATCACTAGAAAAGAGGCAGTGTGAAGAGAATTAATGGCGGTACAGACCAGACGATAATAAGAAAAAATTAAGAGCTGTGGAAGTGGCAAATCACAGTGGCACTGGGGTTGAGTTCCTAGGCAAGCTGACCATGAGGAAAAACTGCTTTACGCACAGTCATGCGTACAGGGATGCCAAGTTGTGTAAACAAATGTCGTGAGGTTATGGTGCGAATGCACCAGTGCGTTGGTGAGTGCACAGAGTGAACGAGATAAACACAAAGCATATACAAATTCCTGGAGTTGATAAGCTGTTGCGAACTAATGGACAAGGCGTAATGAGTGGACTTGGCTCAGCTAGGGCCAATCAATGGTCACTGCCGCTACAGTGCGGGAAACGTGGTATGCGGCAACTGTAAAGTCAAATGTTACGGTACCGTGGTACACTTTCTTCGGTTTTCAGAGCCCCCCCCCCGGTGAACTTGAGAGCCCCAAATGTATTGAAAACGCAATTTCGTGAATAGTATGATTTGGAGCTTTCTTAGACGTAAAGAAGAAAAAGTGGGGTGTTGTTGTACAAAATAAGAAAAAGGCACACTGTGAATCGACGCTTACTTGAATTCGTCCGATTCCGGCAATTAGGACCTGTGGTGGTAATATACGTGGAGCTGTGTATGTGCCACCAATCTGAGGAAGGGAAAGTGAATGAATGAAGCAACAATACACTAGAAAGGCAGCCATACAAACAAATCGGTTAAGCAGAAAATGGTTTTGCAAGAGAGCAAACAGATCCATGAATAATCTGTGATTTCAACAGTTAATGAAATCTTGACTACAGAAACAAAATTAACCGTTAGAACATCAGTGACACTCAAGCTCCCGATTGTGGTGAAAGATGTTCCAAATTTGGTCAAAGAGTTGGAGATTTAGGCAGCTGAGATTGTGATACTCACAGTATTTTAAATTGTTCTAACAACACAACGATTCAAAAGCATTTGTGCGAATAGAGTGCCGGAGAAAAACATACTGAGTAAAAGCCTGGCCGGACAAAAGTGCGAAAAAATACAGAGGAAATAAAAGAAAACGGTGGAAAAAGACAGGTGAGACGTTATCTACCACGTTCAGAATGTAGCTGTCGATTTTGCATGCAATTGCTGGGATTGGGGCTATTGATCACAAGCTCCGTTTACGTAATGTGCACAAGTATGACGAGCAATCACCGTGAACACTGTGGTCAGTGTCCGCATTCTAGTCAGTGAAGGAAAGGTGGGACGATTCTAAAAGTTCTTCGATCGCTCAGTGTGCGTCATACCATGAGCTTGGCTCTAACGGCGTCCCTAGCATAGTCAAGAATGAATGATTATTTACCAGTGATAAGATCCCAATTTGTAGCCAGGGAAGTTGTGGTGTTTATATTAACAAGCGCAAGAGAAGGATGCCAAATATGCAGTGCGTGACAACCGCTCACAGTCAGCTCAAAGCTTATGAAAAACTGCATCAGTAGTGTGCGAGTTAGTAAATTTCTATTCAACGCCCTATATTTATTGAATTCATGTAAACAATCGAAGCTAAATAATGACCGCGGTATGGCCAGCGTCCATGACGACGTACCACGTGAGTGACAATGCATATAGTGCGGGAAGTTGACTACGAGCAGTGGTAAACCAAATAACTGGTCGGTAAATGGCTCGGAGCAGAAAACGCAATAGCAAGTACCTATTGACAAGCATGTATGTGATGGGAGTGTCAAACCAGAGTGAAAGGGTAGGCCAACCGAGCGAGCCAGATAATCAATGGGAAATGGCTAACTGATTTGATTGCTAGACATGGATTGGCCGACATTCACGTGAGTTAGTCATGGTTTGCTTAATTGAGACAAAGGAAGAACCTCATTGCCTCAGAAGGGTCGTTAATTATGGACGAGAAGGTGTAACTTTATCGAGGAGTTGGCTTGCCAAACACGCTGTAATTTTCGCCCAGTTGACTTTGCTAAATAAAAGCTTGTCCCTGAAGGACTGAGTTCTGCAACAATGTACAAGGGCGCTTTTCGAAATCGGGCGAATGCAGGAGTAGATCGCTGTAGAGATGACGAGTGAGGCTGACGCCATTCACTACTGAGTACCATTACAGGAGACAGTAAATAGACTGATGCCAGGGAGAGACCCGTCACAGCTATATAAAAAGTTGATGATGATACAAATAGGATGCCAGCGCAAGAACCTGTAAGCGCAAACTGATCCATCTCACGACGGAAAATGCGCAGTTATACGCAATAACATAGGTTCAAACGAATATCAACAATAAGCTGGTACCTTATGCAAACGTTGCGATGTTAAGTAACTACAACGCGCCTTAACCATTCCATACCCCGTCGGCGGTGAGGAAATGTCGAAAAGAGAGTACTAGAGGTCTCTCGGACAGTGGAGGGAAACGATAACGAAAAAACGAGAGGAATTAGCGTTTTATGATTGTCATGAGGGTAATCATCCTACTCAGTCGAGATGCCACTGTGAATCCGGAATCACGATGGACAGCCGCTTTATCCAACTCGAACTCAAGAGCAGCGCAAAGCGCGACAGAAACACGAATAAATTCGAACCCAAAAAAGAGCTACTTAGTGGATGTGGTGCAATTCCACCCATGTTCTGCTGTTACTCATCGAGTTGCACCACAAATCGTGTCAATCACTTAGGACGTAACACACCTTCGAAAGGGCTTAACGACGGCTGGCTTTCTAGTGCACTATTTGGACATAAACACCATGGACCATCATCCGTCCGTCAGTTTGCACTTTTGGTGCTTTGCATGCTGAAACTCAGGCGCACAAAAACATCAAATTCGAGATCGAAAAAGACATTCCTGGTATCAACCGGAAGACCACTCTGAGGACTACTGGATAAGTCAATAGTAATCTCAGCCAATGGTCGTGCTGGACAGCTACTGAAAACACTAACTGCTAACCATACGGCCATTGTTGCATTGCTTCTAATCTGCCTACGGGCAACTTCGCTTGAAACCCGTCCGAATTAGGACTTCGCCGCAACCCGATCGATGAATCGTGTGCAAACACGAGCGCAAACCCGAGCAGTCTTCATGTCAAGTTCTAGCTCATCTCGCCAACCACATCTGATATCGACTAGACGCTGGATTTAAAGCGAAAACGGCGCCAGTGACGGTAACCATAGCAATCGATGGTGTGGAATTCTAATGCTCTGAACAGTACGACAACGGGAACGATCGGTTTTCACATTAGTACTTAATCTTTGAAGTATTTAATGTTGTCTAATTTAGGCACTGATAGTGAGATCCAGTAGCATTCTTTCCTGACCCTTAAAATGTCGGTCGGTCGGACGTATGGTTTCCCAGAAGAAGTTGGTAGCTACCAAAATTGGTACCAAAATTGCAACAAAATCACTAAACCACTTGGACTGATAAACCAATCGGGTACACATACTAATCCACTGACCGACGGAGTTATCAAATTCAGGTCTATAAAAGATGAGATGGATGTGCGCAAAATAATAACGGCTTCTTGTGACTATTTGGAGAAAACCATCAAAACACGTGAACCTTTGACTGTTCTGTTGTAAGCTACGGTAAACCTAAATAATGATGATCCCAAACCCACTGTAGCTTAAATGCAGAGCACGATGTTTGAAAAATGCAGTAGCATACAACTTTTTGACAGATTGCCGGTAGTAACACTGCTGAAATCCTGCTCGAGGCAGGTAATCTGGAAAACAGTCGGTGCACTGTGTAAGGCTCCAAAAGAAAGAGTGGAGAAAAAATTGCCATGTTCTTTTCTATTTACTGATTCACTGGTAGCAAAGGAGTTCATCAGAAAAGGTGTAGGGATATCAGAAAGTACCACCTTCAACTCACTGAGAATAACGATGGTGTAATACCCATGCAAAGAGAAGTATGGATAAATCAGCTAGTACCGACTTTGAAAGGCCTTTTGAATGCTGGTCCAGACATGGTCACTAGCACGAATATATTTTATCGGCTACCTAGCAGTCAGGGTAGTGACGTCAGGCTCAAAGAAATACTGGACAAAGTGAAGTCAAAGTAAATGAAGTAGCTCCTCTCTACAACAGCTCGAAAAGTAGTCCGATTAAAGCACTAAATGAAACCGCAAGCATTTGTGCTGAAATGTATAACCATGCAACAAGAATACTATTAAATTCTTTATAACACAAGAAATCTAGTAATACTATCCAAACGAAGTGCCCAACTGTCGAAAAATACTATACATACACCAGTACAGTAGAACCAATCGATACTTCAAGAGTGATGCGAGCGGCAGCAAATGACACAACCATCGAATAGTAAAAGAAAGCGCAAGAGTTGTCAAAAACAAGTGCAACCTCAACCTGGGGAGAGTTAGCTAACACAGTTACTAAATAAAAAACCCCGTGAGGTTGACCTAGACCCGTCCTCTAGATTGTCACTCACCAAGGTGACTTTTCACAGCGATTTAGTACCTTAGCAAGTTAAAACGCGGCTAACAGCCAGGTCATTAGTTGGGGGCCATCATACGACACCTCATAATTCAATCTATCCAAATGAGGGTTTCAATAAACGAGCCCCCAAAAATTCGTCTTAGCTTATCACCAGGAAGACTGTAATTCGAACAATTCTACATCATCATCAATACATGTTAGCTGAGTGTGAGACACATACCTCAGCTAGTGTAATGCAATACCAAAAAGAAAAGATGCTAAAACTTACAGATCACCCAAAAAGTGCAAAAAGAAAGTAATATAAGGTTAAATATCAGGTCATGCATTTGGTACGTGATCGTAATTGCGGGAGGAATTTAACTGGGACAGGGTGGACAAAGAAACTAACAACACAAACGCTATTGGGGCTGGCTCATCGCCATATCAGCAAGTGTACTCAACCAAATGTGTTCATCGTCCTTCGGACCCTAGTCCGGCAGTCGGGATGCACCAAACGATGCCAACTTCGATGTGAAAGCTTTCATTTCTGTTGACCAGGTCAAAGTTTGATCTCCCCTCTCCTCTTCCATCTAGACACCGGATGCCCAATCAACGCACGTTGCGGGATTCGGTGTGCTGGCATGCGCAACAAGTGGCTCAGTCATCGAGGTCTGGTGCATGATATAACTGTGCTGAGCGGTTCACTTGCTCGCCCTGCGCCACACACGACGCCGAACACATTTGTTGGCCACGCAGTGCTTCCACTAGACATCAGCTAAGCTGGGAAGGCAGCGATGACCGAAGGTAGCGTCTTTATGTCTATCGACTTGATGGGTTAGATCTCACAACCGCAGAGTAAGGTCGAACTTACGGCTGCGGTGTAAACTACGCCCTTCTGAGCCAGAGTGATGTCACGTCGGCGTCACAGATGGCGGAAATTGGCAAAAGCACCTCAAGCTTTTGCTATAGGGCTTGCGTCCTCATCTTCGAAACCCTAGGCGCTAATATGGCCGCCCAGATTCTTCTGGCTGATCCCCAACAATGGTCAGCGCAGGCGATCCCTGCCAATCCTGAAGAACTTTGCATTTCGAGAGTGCAAAGCATAGACCGAAACGACTGACAGTCAGAGCTAGTCTATCCAATGCAACTTGATATGTTGGAAAGCTGTCAAAGATAAGGGCAACACCCTCAGCATACGCAAAATCAAGAAGTAGCTCCACACCTTCTAAATTGTGCCCAGTGAAC